TCTGGATGGGGCATTTCCATTCCAGACCCTTTTCTGATCCCTTTGGGCTCTTTTGCTTCTGTCTCCATGTAAAGTTTGTTTGCTGCTGCCTCGTAGAGGGATTTATATTTGGAAAAGCAGGTGAGGTGAGGAGCCTGGCAGGGCTTTCACCTGGCCCAGGGGGATGGTGTTTGCTGGGATGCAGAGGCTTTGCATCCCAGCACTGTGACAGGCCCAGCATGATGGACAAGTCATTGCCTTCATTCCCTTTTTTTTTTTTTTTTCTTGGAAACTCCAGGTCTCAGAGAATGTAATTCTGATTTTATGTACACAGAGCAGTTAATAAAGAAGATAAAAGAGAGATTGTGTTTCAAGCAGTGCAAACTAAAGCCCTGAGCTGTTTTTATCACATCTGCCCTTCTCTCTCTCTCCCCTGAATTCACTCTCTCTGGATAACAGAAATGAGAGGGAAGCTCCATTTAAATGCAGATTTCCCATGTTGACCAAGAGCAACAAATAGCCCTGTGCTGCACCGATCACACAAACATTATCAGGTCTTTTTGTGAAGGAGGTTTGATGTTTTCAGATTTTCCTTTTCCTTGATGAGATCCTCTTCCCTCTCAGAGTAATAGCGCCTTGACGACTTTTTATTTTATTTTTAAGCAGCACTTCAGAGGTTATAATGGAAACACAACCCCACCTGTTCCTCCACTGGAGCTCCACTTGACAGCCCTGTAATGAGGAACTGTGCAAATTCCTTCTCCTCTGCTGTATTGACAGCCTGAAGGGTTGATACCGTATTCAGCAGAGGGGAAAAGGACAAAATAAGGCAATTTTGCAACAATTTTTTAATCACCTGCCCCCGCAGCCTCGTGGTTTTGGGGGCAGTTTGGGGTTCATGATGTGAGGAGGGTCTCCAGTGGTGCAGGATATGCAGGTGGCTGAGGAAGAGGAAAAGGAGGATGGGGAGATGTGGGGGTCAGGTTGGACATCAGGAGGAATTTCCTCATGGGAAGGGTTTTTGGGCATTGGAAGGGGCTGCCCAGGGAGGTTTGGAGTGCCCACCCCTGGAGGTGTTCAGGGAATGACTGGATGTGGCACTCAGTGCTCTGGGCTGGGGGACAAGGTGGGGATGGGTCCCAGGGGGGACTCAATGATCCTGGAGGGCTTTTCCAACCTTGATGATTCCATGAGCATGTTTACAGGATAAATCAGAAGAGGTTGTAGATGTGCTCTTAACCTGTCACCTGAGAAATATTGCAGACAGCTTTATATCTTTTTAACTTGGAGGGACATGTTACAAACAGTGAAATATGTTTAGTAAGCCAGTGCTTTGCCAAATCTGCATCTTCAAGAGATGCCTTGAGATGGAAACTGTGTTTCCGAGTATGACTTCACATCTCAAAGGTACGAAAAGCATCTGAGAAAAACGTAAATAAAAAATGATACTGTTAACAGGGAAAGGTCAGCTGAGCACAGTTTGTTGTAGCAGTGTCTAAATCTCCTGCTAGCATCTGTTCCTTGTTATTGTTATAAAAATGCTACTTCATTAGATCCTGCTTGAATCGTGAATTAAGGGGTGATGTTGCAGCAAAACCTGCAGTGGGATGAGGCTTGTCAGGGTGCATCAATTCCTGCCTCCTCATCCCCCCCAGGCTGGGAATGGTGGAGTTTGAGGATGACACATCTCTGGGAAGCTCCTTGTCCAGCTCCTGTCTGGACAAAGCACTCACAGGGATGCCTCACACTCTGTTTTGGCAGGGCAGGGCTTAGGCTGAGTGCTTTCACACACACATCTCATCACAGGGCATCAATTCCTGCCTCCTCATCCCCCCCCTCTGAGGGCTGGAAGATCCCTGAGCTGAAGGCTGTCTGTAGAAGAGTCATTGAAATCTGATTTTCCCATCCCCTTGCATTTCTTTGCCTATCAATAATGGTTCTTGCTGTTAAATACCTGGTTCTTGCTGTTAAATCATTAAGTCTGAGTGTTGCATTTGAAATGTGGGTTTGATAGAAATTTAAACTTCGTCGCTTGAATATTGATGAACTACAACCCAGCTGCTCTCTCTGCATTTCCAGGGGGATAAACTCTTCTGGCTTGGTGCCTCTCAGGTTTATGGGTTTGGTGTTAAGTGTAAGGAAAACCTGGGCATATTGACTAGAAAGATAATTATTACTGTCTGAAGGATTTTTATCTGTCAAGATGGGAACATCCCCTGGGAAAAGATGTTTCCAGCCAATTATTGCAGAGGAAAACTCAGCCTGTGCCAGTCCTTGGTGGCTTCACTTGAATTGTTTGACTCTCAGTCCCTGGGAAATCCTGAGCAGCCCTGAGTTGGGCATCACAGATCCAGGTGCTCCTGGCTCCCTCTGGAATGTTTTCCTCATAATTCACAGAGAAGTTGTCTAGACCAGAGACATTTATCATGATTGGGAAGACAGGAGTGATTTTTGAGGGCAACAAAGTTCAAAGACTTTGCTGTAAGTCTTCAGGATTAAAGATTTACTTGATGCATCTTCCCATATTTAATAGACAGGAGGAGATGAAAGGGAATTTCTAGAAAGATTTCCGTTCATACTTAATGATGCCACTGTGAGATGAGCTTTGGCACCGTGTCCCAAGACATGAAGTTTTAAAACCAACCTTTTTTTAAACATTAAATGACCTTTTTTCATGCTCTAGCTTTAATAAATAAAGATTAGCTCAGCCTCATTACCTGCTCGGTCCTGAGGGCTGGTTTAATATTTAGTAAAAGTAACCAAAGTGTCCCAAAATGCAAGGGAGCACATTTTGCTGGTTTTCTATCACAAGTCCCAAAGTTCAAATTCAATCAGAGCTGAGTAAAGAAGAGGGTTTACTGTTGTTATTTTTTTTGAGGTTTTATTTCTTTTTCCCTCACCTGTAGGGAACTTTTCAAGGTTTCCAAAAAATAAGAATGGAAAATGCCATCCTGAATAGACACAGAGAAAAACAAACCTTTTTTTTGGTCTAGGTGGCCTGGGGAAATAATTCAAAATGCTTTGGTTTCGACTGTTTTATATTTCAAATGTCTTTAACTGCACATTAGTGGAAGTGGGTTTTGTTTGAAAACTGGCAATTAGGAATATACTCGAAAACATTTCCCAATTTAGCGATTTTGAAGCTTTTAAATTAGAAACTTAATGAATCTCAGAATGCTGACACACACTCCCCTCCCCACTGATCTTTAATTTTGCTGTGTCAGCACCTGAACACCACCAGCATTTTTGGGATGTTCATCACATTCCAGCACACGGATTTACCCTTTCCTGGGAGCAGGGCTGGAGGGAAAAAGTTTTGTCTGCGAGAACTTCCTTCTCTGCTGCTTCTTTCCTGAAGAAATGGAGTTTTAGCTGCTTGTTGGGACACGTTATTCTCCCAGACATCTGTGTATAGTGCACCACAAGTGTTGCTGTGGGGTTCTTTATCAGTGCTTACTTAATTCAGCTCCCACAAAAGCCAAAAATCTAGGAAGAGAAGGAATTTTTTGAGTATCCTCGGGATATAAAGTAAATCAGGATAGTGTGGAGCACGTCTGCTTCACCAGTGGATTCCACTGCTGAGGCTGGGGCAGGACTGGGACACAGGGATGCTCTGCAGTTTTGTCAGGAGACAAAAGATTCCAGTGGGATGAGCAGAGCAAGGCTGGAAAAAGAGCCCTGAAACGTGGTGTGAGTTGGTTGTTGACACTGGGCTGTGCTTTGAGCTTTGGGGTTGGGTCAAAGTGAGTCTCAGGGGCAGGAAAGCCAAAATAAAAGGAGGCTGGACCTGAGACAGGAGTGTTGGTGGCACTGGAGGGTGATGGGGAGCAGTGAGGACCTTCCAGACACAAACCAGCCCTCTGAGGGCTGTTCTCTGTCCCACCTTCAGCCCAACATCTCTGTGCTTCTCTGCCAGGTACCCCAGTGAGTTCTGTCCTTGAACAGTGGCTGTCCTGCCAGCCCTTGCTCTTAGAACTCAGGATACCTCCAAGTTAGGACTGATTTCAGTTATTTCAGGCTTTATTTTGGGTTTCAACTGATTTTCCTTCTAAAAAAAACCCCAAGCCAAACATGCTGCAGCCCAATGCCACGTTCCAAAGCTTCCCCAGGGCTGCTGCCCTGGGTTCCCTGTTTTCCTGCCACACAGCCCAGCAGAGCCCCACTAATCCCTGCCCTGCTCACCTGCCTGCTCCGGCCCCTGAGCAGTTCTGGATGGCATCACTCCCTTTGGAGTGATTTTTTGGGGAGGGGAGATAAGCCTTGCTACTTTTTTTAATGTACACAACAAACAACAGCTCTGCTCTTCCCCAGATCCAGTGGAATTGCTGTGTTCTGGGAGGAGACCCCCTGTTAGCAGGGACAAAGCCGGGGGGGTGCAGACCTTGTGCCAGCTCATAACAAAATGCTCAACTCTGATTCCTTTTTGCCTTCCCTCAAGCAAACAAAAATAATACCCCTCACCCTCTCCCTGTGCCTAACACAGATTTGAGTGGGCAGCCCCAGGAGCTGAGTTCAAGAGTCAAGTGCTTTCTGTTTGAAAAATATTTGTCCCTCCCCACCCACGGCTGCCCACGTGCTTCCTGAAATATTCCAGCTATCAGCACCGGATCAACGCTTCACAGGAACCATCCAAGGCTATCTGGGGACGTTCCTCCTTTGTTGGGATGTGAGGCAGAGCCTGGATCTGGGTTCCTCAGGGCTGCACAGCTGGATGTGCCTCTCTGAGAGCCCCCGGGGTGGGTGCTGGATGCCACCAGCACCCCGACAGTGTGGGTGGCCGTGCTGTGGCATTCCGACAGGTAGCACAGCCACTGCTGCAGAGATTCCACCACCCACCTGTCTGGCAAAAACCTTGGGAGGTGGGTGAAACAGCAGGAGAGGCCGTGTGGGAAGGAGGATGGTGGTGAGAGGAGCAGCAGCGCTCGCGTGGAGATCCCGAGGGGATCGGGGGACGAGGGGGATGGGGACGTGCACAGAGCCCCTGCCGTGCCTAACCACTGCCAACCCCTTTGCTCCCACAGCTGCCATCCTGGATGACCCCATGGAGTGCAGCAGAGGGGAGAGGCTCTCCATCACCCTGGCCAAGAACCGCATCAACCGCGCGCCCGAGCGGGCGGGGAAGGCCAAGGTGGAGGTGGACATCTTCGAGCTGCTGCGGGACAGCGAGTATGAGACGGCAGAAACCAGTGAGTGCCTCTCCTGCAGCTGGGCCTGCCCCCCTTCCCCTCTCTGCCAGCTCGCCAGAGGTGCCTGGCACACTTGCTGCAGAGGGAAATTGTGTGGCAGCCAACCGGGATAAACCCCCACCTCTCTGCTCCTCTCCTGCTCACACGGAGCAGTTTTTATTCGAGGGTGTAGCTTGGTGTGGTGAGGTGAGCCCAGGCGTGGACTTGAGAGGATCTGGGTCCCCAACAGGCTTTGCCACTGCTCAGCTCAGCAGTTTGGGACAAATTACTTCCTTTAATCTGTGTGTCAATAAACAGAGGCAGCGATACGGGAGGTGCTGATCCTTTGTGAAGCACTTAATGGTGAGCAAATAAGAGACTCTCTGGGCAAGTTGGGTGCAATTAAGTTATTTTTAATTCCCCCTGGAATTCTGCGTGTCAGCAAACATGACAGCTCTTCCAGGGCTTGAGATTGGCAGCAGATTTATTTACACAAAGGGAAGTTTTTAAGTGATGTTTAAAAGCGTGTGGATTGAAAAAGAGCTAATTTTGAAAGAGCAGTAGATTTCCCACGTCACTTCCAAGTCCCTTAATGAAACAGTTCTCTATTAGAGTTGTTCCTCTGGATGCCCAATGTGTCAGCTCTGTGCTGATAGATAACAAGGAGATTGATGGTCAGTGTCCCACAGACCTTTTGGGAGCCTGAGTGAAAGGAGCCCAAAAGATCCATAATTGCTTCTTCCTATAAGTAAATATCCTTTGGAATAGGATAGCTTCCCCTCAGAATCATTTTTAAGCTGACCTTTAGAGTTCAAGGGAGGACTATAACTTTTTATTACCAGTTGCCTTGAAAAAGCTGGAGAAATCATTTTTAATAATAGGGATTTTAGACTCGTTTCCCAACGGTTCTGTGTTCCAGGACTGTGCAATCTGCAGGGTATCCCCAAAAAGTGTGGTGGTGTGTTGTGGCCTTGGGGCAGGCTGGTTTCCCACACAGTTTTGGTGTGTGCTCTGCAGAGCATTGAGCAGCCCTGTGGTACCCAGAGCTGCTCAGCAGTGACTCTGGGTAGCTGGAAGAACGGGCTCCGTGGGTCTGCGAGATCAGCACATCCTTCATTTCCTGAATTAGTGTTTGCATTATTTATAGAAGAGTTCAGTTAATAAAATGCGTCTCAGCAAGTACCTGGATGTCTATTTATAGAGCCTGTCACCCGTGAGGCAGCACAGATTAAAATCATCACAGGGGCTGTTTAAAGCAGCAATTCTCCACTGGTTTGGATCCCTCGTCTCTCCTCTGTGTTCTTGGTCTTTCCCACCTGCCCAGGATTGTTGCACATCCTGCTTTGCCCTCATTTGGCACAGCTTTGGGGCACATCCAGCCTCCCTGTGCAGAAGGGGTGGGGACAGCCTGGATTTCATGGAATCATAGGATCACAGGCTGGGTTGGGTTGGAAGGACCTTAAAGATTATCGAGTTCCAACCCCCCTGCCATGGGCAGGGACACCTTTCACTAGCCCAGGTTGCTCCAAGCCCTGTCCAACCTGGCCTTGGACCCTTCCAGGGATGGGGCAGCCACAACTTCTCTGGGCAACCTGTGCCAGGGCCTCCCCACCCTCCCAGGGAAGAATTCCTTCCCAATATCCCACCTAAACCTGCACTCTCTGTCAGTGGGAAGCCATTCCCCCTTGTCCTGTCACTCCAGGCCCTTGTCCAAAGTCCCTCTCCATCTTTCTTGTAGCTCCTTCAGGTCCTGGAAGGTCACAATTAGGTCACCCCAAAGCTTCTCTTCTCCAGGCTGATCAATCCCAATTCTCTCAGCCTTTCCTCCCAGCAGAGCTGCTCCATCCCTCTGATCAACTTGGTGCCTCCTCTGGACTTGCTCCAGCAGCTCCTTCCCAGTACATTCCCAGTTTGCCCCTGGAAGTATCCCAGACCTCTCAACAGCCTCCTAGGAAATGACAAAATTCCTTGTTTGCCTGAGCTTTCTGTGCAGGAAGGACCCAGGAAAAAAGGGTCTTAAAGGGCCCTCTGAAGTGGCATTTTGAGTTCCATTCCTGTTCCTTCCTCATGAATCTCCTGCATGGAGCAGCATTCCTGTTGTTTAACTCGGGGCTTGGCTGCCAAGTGACCCCCAGGGATGCCACAGGGATGGGGGGCAGGATTTCTGTCCCACTTGTCCACCCATAACACTGCTTATTAATCTCTGTTGGGAGATTTTTTTCAAGCTGAGAATGAAATGTTCCACAAGAAATTGTTGATTGCAGCAAAAATGTTGTGTTTGGGGAGAATGTGGAAACAGGGTGAGTGAGGAAGAGGCACCTCCCATTTCCAGTTTGCACCTTTTTGGGTGATTTTCTTGTAAAAAAGTAGGAATTGGAGCAAACTTGACGTGGTTTTGGTGAGTTTTGCAGTGTGTTATTTGCCTTTTCTTCAGAGGGAAAAATGTCTGCAAGCATGTCTTTGAAAAGGAAAAAATCTGGATTCTGCATGGCTCTGCTATTAATGTCACTGAAGTTATTCTTGATTTACACTGGCAGTGGAGGAGAATCAGATCCTCTGACTTAAATTTCAAGGGCTTTCATGCCTCTCAGATGCTTTAATACAGCTCTGATGTTTGTTATGACACATAATATTAATAAAAACTGTTTAGATGCTTTAACCTCTGACTGCAAAGCTGTTATACAGCTGTTTAATACTGTTCTCACATTTCACACCCTTTTGAGTCACTGTTAAATATCACAGCTCCATGTTTAGCTGACTGATTTAGGAATTACACCCCATCAGTGATATTCCATAAACAGTTAGTGCTTCAAGAGAAGGAGGAATTTTGGGGAGTTAGTTTTTTATTTTAGTGTTGAGCTGCTTTTCTTTCCTTTTTCCTTCTGACTGGCTCACGATAGAGGGCCCCAAAAATCACAATTGCTGCAGCAGGTGAAATATGAGTCAGTTAATCACATTCATGCCTGGTTTCTATTTCAGCTTTAGATATGAATGAAGGCAAACATTGACTGCTCCTGTGTGAAACATCTGTGTTTGCAAGGAGTTTGCACTGAAAGGCTGTGGACAGAGCTTTTTTTTTTGCTGTTACAAGGAAAACCTGTTCTCTCTTTGTGTTTGATGTTTCAGCTCCTTTCATGGGGATCCAAAATGACTTGTTTAATCGTGTCTTTATCTAAACCACCTCATTCCTTTTGATGTCCAGGGAGGGACAGATCATCTACTTGTCCTCCTGTCCCCTATGGCCTCGTCAGCCTTTTAAGCATCTCTTTGTTGTGAATCCAAACATCCTGGGGCAGGTCAGGGGCTGGAGGATTTTAAATTTTTATTTATTCACACCAAGATTTCAAAGTGCCTGATATGTCCTTTCAGTGGCAGTGGCTCAAATGTGCTGTTATATTACCTGTCCCACCATTTTTGTGGGATTTCACGTTTTAAGCCTGCTTTGGTTGTCATGGAATCACAGAATGGTTGGGGCTGGAAAGGGACCTTGAAGATCTTCCAGTTCCACCCCCTGCCCTGGGCAGGGACACCTTCCACTAGACCAGGTTGTGGGTTCCTTTTAGGAACTTTTAGGAAGCACAAAGGATGCTGCAGGGAGCAGTCTGGGAGTGCAGGATGAACCCTCTGGAACACCAGCTATTTATTTATTTATTTATGCACTTGGTGTTCCCTGTCTGAGATTCCCATCCTGACCAGTCCCTGCCACTCCAGATCCTCTGGCATGTTTTGCAATCATGGAAATGCTGAGGTAATTGCCAACCTTCCCTGCTCATTTATGCTCAATTAGAGCCAGGAATGTTCCTTGCATGCTGTTTGAAACCCTGGGATCAGGTGGCTGTGTGCAGGGAAGGGGATGCTGTGTCCTGCCCCGGGGGTGGATGCTCTCCCTGGGGGGCTTTCAGCCCTGCTGAACAGGGAAATGTTTGGGATCCCAGGAGGGGAAAGGCTCTCTCTGACCATGTCTGAGATATATAATGTCACAGTTACCTACTTGTTGTCTTACTTGTCCATGTTCAAAAAATAAGCATGCATTTCCACTTTCCTTTAAAAAATACCTTGTTGTTTCCTGAGTGTCCAGACCTGTTCTTAATTCCCAAATACACCCATGGAAACGATTAAACACAACCCTTTCTTGTTTTTGTGGCAGCACAGCCCTGCTGCTACCAAAGGAGGGTCACTGAACACACACCTGAGCAGGGATGATCCCACACCCCATCCCAGGATTAAAGAGCTTCTTAATGTGATGCCTTTCCAATGTCCAGTGTTTCTTGAGGTCCTGAATTCTTGACAGTGTAAAATTGGACACAAAGAGAAGTCTGCAGCAATCAAAAATGTGGCAGCCAGGTGGGGGGGACTATGAAGGGATTGGAGGGGCAATATCCCATAATATGCCACTGTCTGTGGTTATACTCTCTGTGATTAGCAGGGATGAGGGGGTTTTTTTTTACAGGACCTACATTTCTACAACCCTCTTCTGAACCTGCAGTGCCCATGGCAGCAGCAAGGCTGAGCCTTTCCTCCCTGTGGGGACAAACAGCATCAGGAAACGTTCTGGAGTAGGAAATGAGCTTGGATTACACGGGAAGCTTCCCAAACGCGGTCAAAACCTTTGCCTCGGGCACCTCCACTTTGTTTCCATTCATTTTCCTTAATTTTAGTGGATGTTTCCCCCAGGTAGTGACAAAAACCAGGTTTTTTTTCTTCTGGCAGTTGTTGCAACTCTGTTGCTATGGCTACTTAACCCACTTTTTGTTCTCCGTGCCGGGGATGAGGAGGAAAGCGCTCCCCAAACTTTTCCCCTCCCTGTGCACCACAGAATTTTCCCTGGGAATTTTTGCCTTTACGACCTGTGGATAAAGGAGGGGGCTTGGAGCAGCTCCTTCCTCCTCCAGCTGAAGGGTTTGCTGGAGCTGAGAGGGGCTGCTGAGGCAGCAGGCAGGGTTTTCAAATCGCTGGTGCTCCTGTTTAAAAGTGTCTTCTGAAGAGGTCTAAGTGCCTGTAAATTTTTAAGCACGGAGGGAAAGCAAGCACTGGATTCCTTTTGAAGATGCCACAGAAAAATATCTCTGGCTCTGGAGGAGATTGAGCTGTTGCAGGGGGAGAGAGCACAGAAGGAAGGAAAATCCAAGAGGAGATGGTTGCATTTCATCAGCTGTAAGAAGTCAGAGCAATCAGTATGGACAGGGGCTGGGGAGGGTATGGAGCTCTGCCTTCAAAAGAGAGGTAAAACCTATTCCCCAAAGGGAAAAACTAAATCAGATTTTGGCCTCATATTCCAGCCATGAGGCTGTGGAGACTTATGGAGTTTAAGGCCAGAGATCACAGACTCCCAGAATGGTTTGGATTGGAAGGAATCTTAAAGCTCACCTTGTTCCACCCCCTGCCATGGGCAGGGACACCTTCCACTAGCCCAGGTTGTTCAGGGCTCCATCCAACCTGGCCTTGGACACTTGCAGGGATGGGGCAGCCACAGCTTCTCTGGGCAACCTTGGGTAGCTGAAATCAGGCTGTAGAAGTTCACCTTCCAAACTCTGTGCTCCACCCCACAGCTCACTGCTCTGAAACCACCCCAAGCACAGTGTAGGCTTTCATTTCACATCCAGCCCTGATTTAAAGACTTCGAATTGATAAAAACCCTGCTCTGATCTGTGTTTCAGCCATTTTGATGATGAATTCCCTTTGCTACAAAAAAGCCCCAAAACAACATGTTTAGATTTGAATTTTTCCAGCTCCTTTTCCAGCCACTGAGCCTGGATAACTCATTGCAACCATCCCAAAAGCTCATCTGAGGTGTAAACCAGGGACCTGTGGTGAGGAGGGAAGTTTGATGCTGAAGAAGCATCAGAAGCTTTAAAATCCCAGCTTTGTGCTGTTGTGGTTTGATTTTTCCACATGAAAACGTTGTGAGCCAGAACTGATGGGTAGTTTTGGTGCCTCCCTTCCCCTCTTCCACATCCCATTCCTTCAGGAAGGCTCCAGTGGCTCTGTGTGTGTGGGGAGGAAGGAGCTGAGCGTGTGAGGATGCTGAGGCAGGTCTGGCATTGCAGAAGGAGCCGTGGCCAGCACATGTTCACATGAGCTTGTGAGAGCCCAGGAATTGAGGCACGAGGGGCTCCTGCCTTCTGTTCAGGCTTTGCCTGCACCAGCTGCTCCCGAGGAGCATTCCTGGTGGATGGGGATGGCAGCAGGGAGGTGACACCAGCTGGGCTCCTCCTTGGAGCACAATTCAGCTAAATTTGTGCTGTGAATTGAGAGGACAAAAGGTTGCAGGGAAGAGATTTAACTTCTCGGGTTTGTCAGGGTGTTTTGTTTTGTGTTTTTTTTTTTATTGCTCTGCTAACCTTGCTGGACAGGAGCCAGAAGATTAAATACAGATAGGGGAAAAAAAACAACCCCAAACAAATGAAAACCAGTAATGCAACCCTTATTATTACCACTGAGCTCTGCAGAGGATGAGGGGAGCAATTCCTACAAGTTTGTTTGCTGCTGGGTGATGCTTTGAAGCTGGGTCACTGCTGTGTTGAGCATCTTCCACATACTTCAGTTCCTGTTTTATCCTGGGGACAAAAAGGGGTGTTAAAAGAGAGAGCCCCCAGGGATGAGGATACTGGGGCTTTGGGGAGGGTTTAGGTGGGATTTTAAAAGGCTGGGGAACGAGGGAGAGTGTCACAGGCAGGGTGACAATGCTTCAGAGGGAATAGAGGGATGCTGGGGGTGTAAATGGCAGGGAGTGTGTTGTGTGGAGGAATGGGACGTTCTTAGTGCAGCAGGGACTGTAAGCAGTTGAGGATGAAGTCTAATGCCTGTTCCCTCTCTCTGGTGCCCACAGTGTGCCAGATTCTCCCCAAAGGAGTGGTTGGAGTCCTGGGACCTTCCTCAAGCCCAGCCTCGAGCTCTATTATCAGCAATATCTGTGGGGAGAAGGAGGTAAGTGGAAAAGTTCCTTTCTGGGGTGAGTTTATGCCCTCACACTGACTTGGCCCCAATACCCCCGTGCCTGGTGGGCTGCCCAGGGCTGGGAGGGACTGTGGGAGCCCTGATCCTTCCTGAGCATCCCAGCCAGAGCTCCTGGTGTGACACAATTTCGTGCACAAACGTGGAAAGCTTTATTTTTTTGGTTTTTAACAGTTTACTGGTGTTCCATCGATGCAAACCCTTTTTATCTGTGTCCAGACCGTGTGCTTGATTTAATATTTCCCAAGCCTTCAACCACCTTACGCTGATCTGGCTCTGCACAGGGGACAAGAAATTGAGTTCTCCTCTCACAGTTCATCCCTTTAAAGCCAGATAACATCTCTCAGCCATTTCGTGGGCTCTCTCTGGAGCCCAGCCCCCGAGGAGGGGAGGCTGGAACTAAGCACTGGAAGTAATTCACATTAACAAATGAGTGCTGTTCGTTGTTCCTGGAGAATCAGAAGCGGTGAAGAGATGGATCTTTCAGACCTAATGCACTGAGCTGTGGCAGGATGGGTCTCCTGGGGGTGTTTTGTAGTGCTTTCTCCTGTTAAACCTCCTGGACCTGTGCTCCATCCCAGGCCAGGCAGCTCTGTAGTAACACACCGGGAGTGTTTTGCCCCTCCAGTCTCTGATCTCTCTTTTTTTTTTTTGCTCAGCAATGAAAGGTGAGTCCCGGTGCAATTCTGAGCTGTTTGATTCTCAGCTGCCCTCTTAGGGATGCAAACCTGCAGCAGGTCCCTGTGATTTGTATCACAGAAGCATCAGCTGGTGCCACTGTGCCCCCTGCTTCCAGCCATCCCTCCATCCCTCGGGCACAGGGAGCTGTGTCCCCGTGTCACCCCGTGGTGCAGGGACTGGAACCTGTGGGGATGGACCTGTCCCTGCTGTGTCACCCCTCCAGTGCCTGTGGCACAGAGATTTCCTTCCCCCTGTGCAGAAAGGGGTGTTGCAATGGGGCAGAGTCCTGGGGAGGAGAGGAGGACTCCGGGAGTGAAGGGTCTGAACCAGGGCTGGGATCAGTCCTGGGGGGTCCCCTCTGTCTGCATTTCCTTCTCTCTGGTATCTGCAAACCTCAGGTTCATCCTGGCTCCCAGGAATGATCAGGATGCTGCCCTGTCTGCTCTGGTTACAGGAATTCAGCTTTCCCTCCCAGCCTGTCTCCCTGCTAACACAGCCCGGGATGAAGGCTGCAGACTGAAATCAAGGCAGATAGCAGCTTATTACTCTTTTAAGTTTCCTTTTGCTAAGCAAACAGCTTATGCTGTCAATAAAACAGCCATCACAAGCTGCTAATAGGCTTTCCCAAGAGGAGAGAGGTGGGAGGCATAGGCTGATAGCTTCAGGAAGGGCTAATAATGAAGGAAAAGTCGACTTGACACTCGGCTAACGAAGCTGTAGCAGATGTTTCCCTTTCTCTGACTTCTATTTCTTGCAAATAATTCACTCAGCAAAAGGAAAACAATATTCCCTCTCCTTATTTGGCTGAACCCTCAGTGCCTGAGCTTGATCTGTCTGTCTGCCCACCCATTCCCTCTGCAGGAATCTGCAAGGTGTGCAGCTCCCCCCTCCCCAAATTCCCTCAGGAGCAGCATCCCACCCCCTCCTCCTGCTCTGTGTGTTAATGACAAATGCAGCATTATCTGGGCTGGTGGTTCCAGTCCCTTGGAGCTTGCCCATGGTATGGCCACCTGTTACCTGCTGATCAAAAATGCCCAAAGCTTCTGGCTGCTGCATCTGTTCCCCTCTCTCTGGAGCCCTGCCAGCACGGGGTCATCCTGTTCTCCCCCTCATCTGCCCTTAACTGCCCGATGACACACCAGCTCAGCAGGCAGGGGTGGATCTGCAGCACACAGCAAAGGGCTGGGGGCTCCATGGCTGCATCCCAGTGTATCCCTGCCTGCATCCCAGTGTATCCCTGACTGCCTGCATCCCAGCCTGCCTGCACCCCAGTGTATCCCAGCCTACCTGCATCCCAGTGTATCCCTGCCTGCCTGCATCCCAGCCTGCCTGCATCCCAGTGTATCCCTGCCTGCCTGCAGAGTCTCCTCCCTGCTTACCCAGGCAGCCATGAAGTGTGGGCCGGGCTACAATTAGCGCCCCAGCTAATTAGGTTGAACTCATCCGGAAGGTTTCCTGGGCTGTAATCACAGACCCTGTTGCCTTTCTCTGAGTGGCTCAGCAAGACTTTTCCTGATCCACTTCTCCCCGTGGCTTCTCGTTGCTGTGATAATTATTTTCCTCTGCTGCTGCACAAATCCCACCCTCCTCTCTTGACTCCAGCAACACTTATTCAGTTTTATTGGGATGTTTCCCTTCCTGCCTGCTGTGCATTTCACACCAAAGGCCCTTTACCGCAGATTTACTTGTTTTTATTTCTGTTTCCTCTTTAATTATATTTTCTTTCCTCTCCCCTGCCCACTCAGGTTCCTCACTTCAAAGTGGCACCGGAGGAGTTCCTGAAGCTGCAGCTCCAGCGCTTCACCACCCTCAACCTCCATCCCAGCAACACCGACATCAGCGTGGCCGTGGCAGGAATCCTGAACTTCTTTAACTGCACCACTGCCTGCCTCATCTGTGCCAAAGCTGAATGTGAGTCCTTGCCAGGCTGGCTTTGCCTGCCCCTCTCTTCCATCCCCTCCTGTGTGTTTGGTGCTTGCTGGAGAAGGTCCCCCCAGCAGCGTGTGGGACCTCAGTGTTGCATCCCAGATCTCCATCTCTCGTGCAGACACATCCTTCTCCCCCCCCAGAACAGGTTCTCCACCCTGTTGCCCGCAGGGAGGTGTTTGTGAGAGGAGGAAAGGGGATGGGAAGAGACTTGCCTGCCTTCTGTTTGACAATCTGAAGAGTGTTTTGCTTCCACAGATGGGGTTTTGAATTTAGAAAAAAAAAAAAAAAGGCTTAGGCTTGTTTCTGGAGATTATTTTAGGCAAGTAAAGCTTTTTGAAATATGTCTTTCCCAAACCCACATGCAGCTTGTGGCCTAAAAGCAGGATTTGATTAATAGACAATACACTGCATGGCCTCTTGGGCTCTGCAGCCCTACATCTGCTGGCCATGGTGCATCTGGTTGCTGGAGCTTTCACCTCAGCAGGACCATGTTCACCTCTGCAGAGCTCCTGACGTGGCAGAGGCAGCTCTGCATCCCAGTGCTGAGAGCAAAGTGGGTCCTGTGCTCGTGGAGGTCACTGAACAGCAGGGAGGGAGATGCTGTGGAGCAGCCACAGCAATTCTGCTTTTATTGCCCTGTTCATCAGCACAGTTCATGGCACAAACCAGCCTGGAAGAGGGGCTTTGAAAAGGCACCAGGCAGAGCTCTGGGGATGCTGGTCTCTGACTGGGCCAAGGTGGGAGGGAAAGGCAGCACCATTCCCAGCCAGCCCTGGGCAAACCTCACCCCACCAGCTGGGCCAGTAATGCAGGGCTGTGGTGACTCCTGCACAGGGACAGGGGGAACAGGAGTGTCTCTGCCTTTCCTTTTTGCTTCACGTGCCCTGAGGAGACCAGATACTGAGCTGATGGAAGTCAGTGAATTACCTTCTGTAAACGTGCTCAGATTTACCCCAGGAAAGGACCCGACTCAAAATGATGCAATTAAAATCATGCACATGCTCTCCTGCATTACTTCCAGGGCTGGAATTTTTCATTGTCTGCCTTAACCTTAAGCAGGAGGGGGAAGAAAAGATAATTAGGTTTTTCTCACCTGCCTTGCAGGAGGCTCAGAGCCCTGTCCCCACAGAGCACACATCCCCCCCTGCCCTCCTCCCCAGCTCTCTGCCAAAACATGCAGGTGCCTCCTGTTGGTATTAATATGATTAATAAGATTCTTCATTTAACTGGATCAAAACCAACGACACCCCCTTTACTTGAAGCAATCCAATTTGTTTTACTGCTGGATAACTCAATATTTAGGATGAGCTGCAGAACCCGAGTCCTTCCCAGTCCCTGGGAAGCAGTGGGCTGGGTGCCTTTTGTGGATCTTGCTCTTTTGTGCTCAGGAAGGACCTGATGTGAGCTGGGCTTGGAGCACAGAATGCTCTGGCTGTAAGAGAGCACATACTCAAGCTTCATGTAGGAGCAGAAAGCCTCATTTTCCCTTAGGACATGCACTGCTCCTGAGCACAGTCCTTAAACAACTAACTCGAGGCATCTCAGGCTTTTGGAAGGTTCCTTCGAGGCAAGTAAGGGGAGCATATGAGCTGTGTGCTCATCAGTGAGGAAATGCTGCTTTGAGGGACGTTTTTATTTGGGCCCTAGGAGGGGAAAATTGTAACTGTTCTGGTTTAAGTGCAGGGCTGTGTGATGGGGCTGTCACTGCAGGGAGTCACATCCTTCCTCTGGGGGCTGAGTGCAATTTGCCTTGGCAGAAGCAGGAAATGACCCTCAAAGTCAAGGAATTTGGGCCAGCCTAAGTGTAGTGCCGTGGTGAATAGAATGAGGTTGTATGACTCAGTTAAGTGACTGAGTTTGGTGAAGAGAATGAGATGATGTGACTCAGTTTGGTGAATGGAATTGAGATTATGTGGCTCGGTTTCTCTCTCTGGTGTGGAATAATTTGCCAGTTTGTGAATTGCTCTGAAGTCCCGATGTGGAAGGTTTGGTGTGATTCCACAAAAACCTTACCCCAAAAAAGGCAGATTGAGGGGTGCATGGGTTTAATAGGAGCTCTGATTGTCAGAGAGGGGAGGGAATAGCACCCAGTGCTTAAAAAGAGGAGACCAGGGCACTGAGATCAAGGGCCCTGAGCACATCCTGGGATGCTCAGGGATGTTTGAGCAGTGGTGTTGGGTGTAAGAGCGAGGCTGGATGAGGGGAATCTCCATTCTCTTCCCAACCATCGGTGTCAGGGACTGCAGTCACAAATAGAACTGCTGGGGCTCTGGGTGTCCATCAGCAGAGCCTCACAGGCAAGAGGAATGAACAGGAATGAGCAATAAACAGGGATGTGGGACTCTACTTCCCAGGAAGCTGCTTGTGTGCCCAGAGCTTGGGGGTGGGCTGCTCCTGCCAGCTCCAAAGGTTTGCATAAGGAAAAATAAAATAAGCAAGGTCAGGACTTGCCACTGGCCAGTTTGGGCCACTGACAGCTCAGTGCTGGTCCCCACAGAGCTGTTCAAAGAGCAGGTGCCTGGTGCAGCCTCTCTGTGCACCCTGGCCCTCCCTTCACTACTTCAGAGTTGCCAGGAGGAGTCTCTGAGCCCTCACTCGTGTTCACATCCCTCTGAAGTGCCAGTCTGGCAGCAGCAGCATCTCCAGTCCTCATCAAACAAAGGGGAATCTCTTCAGATAATAGAGACTTCCCTCAGCACAGCAAGAGGAGCTGCAAGCAGGAAGCTTGATGAGGCTTCAGGTAGGATCTGATGTGCTGGAAATGATAATTTCCTCCAGTCAGAGGAGGAGATCAAATGATTCCTTTTTTTTTTTATTTCTTTTCCCCCCTGGTCCCACTTCCTCCTCTCTGTGCTTGATGTGCTTTTGAAAACACCTTCCTGAGTTTCACAGCAGCAGATATTGCTGGGATGAGCTGTCAGTAAACTTGGGAGTCTCAGCTCTGTTACTTGCAGCAACCTGGCTGGTCCCTTGCAGGGGTGGAATTAGGTGGAAATAAACCTTGCAAGGATCAAATGGAGGGCTTGGGTAAAATTTACTGTTCGTGTGGGCTAGCACACACAAAAAAAGGATTCAGGTGAGGTCTGCTCCATGTGTCCTTTATGCAGAGTGAATTTGCTGGCCAGCGAGAGAGAAAAAGAAGCTGGTGTGACCCACAGCAGTCCTGGCTGTTTTTTCAGTCCTTTGCTGAGTTCCTGCCTGTACCCAGAGAAAAGCTAAGAGGCCAGAGCATTGTGAGGAGCTCAGAACAAACTTAACGTGCTGACAAAGTCTCCCTGTGAATGAGAGGCTCCTCATCTTGGATGTGTCCCTTTAGCTGCACTGCTTTGTTACCTTTGTGGAGTGCTGGCAGTCCTTGGGAGCAGAGCTCTGCTCAGTCACATCCTCTTGTGTTGCCTCCCTGGCCCTTGACCTGCTGCTGAACGAGGGAGTTTGTGCAGCCAGAAGTGAGGAAGGTTGAGAGCAGAGCCCTGACTGGAGGATGGATTTGCCTCTCTGCCAGCTGGGATGTGATGCTGCTCATAGTTCTGTTCTTTTTGGTTTCCTTCAGTTCAGTTCCCTCCTGTCTGTGCCTCACCAATGATTACATCTGGTGGTCCCTCTGGTCAATCAAACTTGACAGGAGGTTATTTCTTGATGAAACTCAGCAGCTGGGTTGGAAGAGGCAGACTCTTATCAAATATGCTGTCGTGACTGAGAAAAGCTGCAGCAGGAGCTTTGACATCTTATTAGACTTCAAGGCAGCTGGGTTGGAAGGAGCCCTTGCAGTGACCAGGCTCCAGGGGGAAACTTCAGTCAGAAGTGCCAAAAAGGTGATGGAGAACAAGCCCAGGGAAGTCAGGACTCATCCAGGGGGGTGTTCACTAATACTTTTTGTCTCCAGCTTGCAGCTGAAGGAGAGCCCAGTCCTGCAGACAAGGTGACCCTTTTCCATGCCCCCTTCCCGTGGCTGATCCCATCCAGACACTGCCCCGGGTGGTGCTGAGCACTCAGGGGGCTCAGTGGGGCACAGAGAGGCAAAGATGCAGCTGGCAGGGCAGACTGGGGGGAGGAGGAGGGCTGTGCCATGGAGGTGGAAGGTGGATGTCCAGAGACCTTGTCCAACCACAGAGCCTGGACTGCAAACATTGTCCTGCTTTAAAACTCTCCTCATTTCTCCATAAAGCACCAACTATGCTGGTTGGTGGGTTGGTTGGTGTTATTGTTGGCTTCTGTGTTGCTCTGGGAACCCCCAGCCCACAGGTAGTTCTGACCCACACTAGGACCATACTCACAGTTTTAGTCACAGCCAATTCAGCCCATTTTTCAATGTGGAATTAATGTTGTATTTTAGCAATGACCTCAGCAGAGCTTTCCATCCCCTTGGAAGACAGCAGCTTCCCAGCAGAGTGCTCCAGGATCTCCCAAGTGTATTGAGTTGTGCCTTGCAGACCACTTAGTCTGGGAGCTGGAAATGCTTGAGGAGGAGGAGGAATAATCCTCCAATAACCAGAACAATCCCACATACAGGGAGATTATGAAAAACTTCTCTGGACTCTGGGGTCCTGAGAAAATTCGTATCAACAATCTTATCTCTTCTCAAGAGGAATTTAGGGCCACTGTTTTGTGGAGAACAGCTGTTGTAGTTCCATCATTTCCCATTCCCTGCTGGGCCAAGCAGTGAGTCCCAAATCCTTTCCTTTGCACAGACACAGAACTGCAGGACTGCATCCTACTGGGAATGGCTGTGGGCCGTGGGAGAAGAGCTTTCTGAGCCAAGCATAACGTTTAAAGGCCTTTCTCCCTTTTCTTTGAAGGCCTTTTAAACCTGGAGAAGCTGCTCCGGCAGTTCCTCATTTCCAAGGACACGCTCTCGGTGCGGATGCTGGACGACAGCCGGGATCCCACCCCTCTCCTGAAGGAGATCAGGGATGACAAGACAGCCACAATCATTGTCCATGCCAACGCTTCCATGTCCCACACCATCCTGCAGAAGGTGAGTGTCCCTTCCCCGTCCCAGCTCCGGGGGCTGCTGCTCCCCCTGAGTTAGTCCCACGTGTTGCATGGTAATGGAGTGGGGAAATCCCTGGAAACGGGCTCTGCTGAGAGGGGAATTGCCACTGTGATGGAGTTTATGGGGAAAATAATTTGCCCTCTCTTTCCAGGACTCTTATCTGGGGAAGTGATGCTTTAATTACTCTGAGCTGATGTGTTTGCCTTCTCCAAGTGGTGTGTGCTGGTGGCTCCTGTTGCCATCAAACAGCTCAGCCCTCTGAAATTAGTCCATCAGTGCACTGGTGTCTCATTTTTCTCCCCTCCCTTTATGTTCCTTAACTTTTTGCTGCCTTTTTCTTTTTTTTTTAAATTGTCTTATTAACCGAGATTTCATTTTAATCGTGTTTATTTTTAAATGGTCTCTCGCTGCAGTTTTTAGAGCTTGTTTTGATAGCCTGCCTCAAAACTGAGCAGTGGCTCCAGATGGAGTCTAAAGTTGGGTAGAATTTCCCGCATCCTGGGAGGTACAAGAAGCACATTCCTGAGTGGAGGCAGGATCCAAGCCGTGGGATCCCCTTGGCTGTTGGTGCAGCCATTCCACGCAGTGTCCTGGCTGCTTTATCACGGAATTAGTCATCCAGAGGCCTTGACTGTGTCAGATTTATCCTTGATGACAGCCAGAAGGGATGTTTTTATTATTCCCCACCTCCCCAAAGATTTTTTTGTTCCGCTGCATGTCATTTTTTATTTTTAAATAGGCAGTTTGGGGGATTTTTTGGGGTCTCTCTGCGCAGGGATTTTCTTTGGTGTGGTTTTTTTTTTTTCTCCCTTTCCCCCCCACCCCAGGTCCCTGTTGCTGCCTGGCTGCTGAGGGCTGTCCCCCTCCTCTGTTGCTATAGTGACTTCCCACAGGCACACAGCAGCTCCCTTCAGGCACTCACAGCCTCCCTGCCCAGCTCCTTCTGCCACAACTGATAAAGATGTCAGTGATTCCCACGATTTTTTTTTCTGTAAAAACTAATCCAGCCTTCCCAGCCAGAGGACTGTAGGAATGGAAGGTAATAAATAATGAGCTCGTGATCTGGCAACTTCTTGCACCTTGGGAGGCTGGGAAGTCCTTTCCTTACAGAGGTGGAAGCAGATATGGGGCGAGGTGGGTGTCGAGCAAGCAGGTACAGCCTTGTCCCTCTCACAGGTCACCGACAGCAAGAAAAGGGCACTGTTGGTTTGGAAATGTCAGCTCTGTCTTAGGAGACCAGTCCTGGCCTGCCACAGGGGGAGGAATTACAGTTTCTCATCTCTTGCCCTCCAGGTGTGGGCTGGAGACACGTGGCTGCTCCCTGGATTCCCAGCCTGTCCCAGCTCCGGGCGATGGGAGCCACGCTCCTGGGAGCTGCTCTGCTGCTCCCTTTGCTCCTCTGCCCTTGAAATCAGCCACAATGACTTCAAAGTGGGTCAGAGGGACAGCTGACATCAGCACTGGCCCCAGCAAGGGGAGAGGGAGGGAATCTGGTGCCAGGTTTTACTGTGGGGGGTTTGAAAAGGAGGCAGCTGTCGGGAGCCTCCTCCAGAGCCAGGGTGCCCTTTTCATCCAGTGACTTTGCTGGGTTTGTTTTGCCACCTGTGCCAGGGACAGGGTGACAATGTGCAGCCAAAGGGCTGGACACAGCCAGACCTGAGCCACCAGCAGTGGTGATGGCCTCAGGTTTGCACAGGAACAGGTGAAGGACGGGCAGGAGTAGGGAGAGGGACCTTTCTTTCACTTATTTTCTCTTGTCACCATCCTTCAGCTTCTGGGGGAGTTTGAAAGGGAGTAAAATCAGGGGGTGCTGCCTTTGGCCCTTCTCTCTTTGTCTCCTGCTCCTTTGTGTGGTTTGGAGTGATGGGAAAACCTCTTTGCCAATGTCTCGAAGCATGATTTGGGACCAGCTGTGCTTGGCAGCAAAACACAGGCTTCCAGGAGGATCTGCAGATTAATGCCTCACTTTCCTGAGCATCTGTTCCCACAACTAACTCACTTGTTTAGTGAGAATTTTGGAAAAGGACTTCAGTGATCTGGTCTGTGATCTCTAGAAGAGATCATCCCCATGGAAACATCTGTGTCCTCTCTGCATCCCTATATATTTTTACCCTCTTTTCTTCTATTTCTGTGGCCATCAAAAGCCTGTCCAAATTCTGGAGAACAGGCTGAGTTACTGGGTTCCATTAATGCTTATTAATTTGTGGGGCTGGAGACCAAAATGGGAAAACCCCCAGCAGCTTGACTTTCCTTCTCCTATAATCCCAAAAGAGCTTTTCCTACCTTGTTCTCTGCATCTGTTTTTGCAGTGGAAGAGACAAGCCTGGAGTTCTCAACTGCTGTTTGCTCCCATTATGTTCCCAAATATGTTGGTAGTTGAACAGGAGCAAAGCAGCTTCCATAGACAAAGCAGAAAACCTCAGCAAACCTTTTTTCCCCTCCAAACACACCATGGAACTCCTCATCCCAAGGTGTTCTGGAGAATCTCGGGGCTGGGGCTTCAGGACCCATGGTCTGTGTGGACCATTAGGGTCTGCTGGGTGTTCAAAAGGTTCTGCTTCCAATGGGCATCCTGTCCTTGGCTGGATACACCCACAGGATGGAGCCACGTGCAGAAATCCCTGAATTCCATCCCGTGGAGGGAGCAGGGAAGCTCCCAGGGGTCTGGAGCTGCAGCTTGGGCAGTGTTGGGTCATTTCTCTCTGCCAGGCAGCCCCTGTGCTGAGAGGGGACCTCAGGTAGGCTCAGCCCTGCTGCAGAATTGCTTCCCCAGCCTTTAGTTGCACAGGTCAGGGAGTGTTGCCGTGTCCCAGCCGTCCCTGCCGTGGGAAGGCAGCACTGGCACGGAGCGATAAGGATGAAAAAGCAAACGTGGCCCAGGCTGTGCCTTGCTGGAGTGGAGACTGAAGATTGTCGGGCTCTGGTTTAATCAGCTTTCCTCTCCTTCACAGGCAGCTGAGCTGGGGATGGCATCTGCCTATTACACCTATATCTTCACTAATCTGGTAAGACGTCGCTCTCGGCTTCCCTCCTGCGCGCGGGCGGAGTCCTGGTGACGGGAGCTGATCCCCCTGACCCCCGGGAAGAGCCACGGGCTCGGGGTGGGGAGGGAGGGGAGGCGAGGAGGGGAGTCCTCCTGCAAAGCTGAGCAGCAGTCAGGAGGAGGCTTGCCCTGGTCTTTGGGAGGTGAAGGCTGATGGATGTGGTTGCAGCAGCCAAAGGCAGGGTTTGCAGACGCTGTGGCTGTGGTGCAGTGAGATGTGCAGGTCCTTGGGAAGCTCCAGCAGATGGGTTGCTGCTGAGCAAGGATTCAGAAGTGTCACCCCCTGACCCCATTCCCCGTGCTGGCAAAAGTCCAGGCTGCCCTGGGAGGAGCATCCAGAGGGTATCACAGCCCTGTGCTTTCCTGCTGAGCCTCTGATTGCTGCTCTGTGGGACAGAGGAAAGCTGAGCCCGTCAGTGTGGGTGTATTCCAGCATGGCCCCTGGTTTGGCTTTATAGCTCCTAATAACATTAATGGGGGCATGGTGTGGTTAAACCCCAGAGCACGGTGCTAAACAAGGAGTAATGGGCTTAGGCAGCAGCAGGGGGAAACCCAAAATAAACATCAGAGAAACTTCTCCTGCTGCAGCAGTTGCCAGTGTGGTGTGAGGGAAGTGATACCAGGAGGCCACATACCTGCCTTTTAGTGCTGGTGTGGGGCTGATGGAAACCTGAGATGGGCTGGAGGGTTGAGTGGAGGTGCCTCCCAGCCCCATATGATAGTCATATTCTCTAATTTCTATTAATATTTATGCCAGGGTGTGCCTGTGCCAGGAAAGCCGAGAGCTGAATCATGCTTTGTGTTTGGGTGGGAGACAGACGGGAAGGGACGGAGCCAAACGGGTGGGCAGGAGAGCTGGAGTGGAGAGGAGGAGGGGGAAAGGAGTGAAATGGAGGGGTTGGAAAGCCAAGAGAGCAACTTGGCCAGAGAATGGAAAAGGGGATAGGGAGAATATAGAAAAAACCACCAGATTGCTGCCTGAACAAAGAGGATTCTGGTTCCTGCTCAGTGTTTGATCTGTGGGTCCTTGCTGCATGTCAGCCCAGCAGGAACAAACTTCACTGATCCCGTTCATCCCCATGGGATGGATCAGCACTGGGCAGGACTGGAGAAGGAAGGGATGTACCTGGAGGGGGTCAGGCAGTGATGGAGACTGGGGGCTGTGATTTCTGCCCCCCCAGGCAGTGTCACTGTGCTGCTGCTGCTGGCAGGGCTGGTGAGGGACAGTGCCACCCCCGTCACATCCTGCCTCAACTCCAAACCCTTCCAGTCATTTCCCGCTCCCAGGAAGTAGTTTTCCTGTTGCAAATGCTCCCACCAACTTTTTCCTCTTCCCCTTGCCCTCCCCTGGCAGTCAGAGTGCCACAGACTGTGCACACAGTGAGGGGTTTCTGTTTGCTCATCACCAGCACAGCGGAGTCTGTTCACAGATTACAGAAATAACTATTAAAATTAAGCTCCCCACCTCCACCCCCACACGAGTTGTGAGCAGGGGTGTGATTTAAGCATTTGCTTGAGGTGAAATTTCTCTTTGAAACCCATTCATCTCGTGTAACTCAGTTCTGGCAGGTGAGAAGGAAATGAGTTCTGTTACCATTCATTCTCACAAGATATTAATGTGTTTACCCAGGTTATTTTACCACTTTGTCCAAAAGACCAGCCCTTAGCAGAACTAACTGGATTTTTGGCAGGGACTGTTGCAGAAAGGTGACATCAGACAAAACCTGGGCAGATGGAAGAGATGTTTAAGGAAATTAGTAATATTTAAATGGGGATTGGAGATGGGAGTGAGCAATTTAGACTCATAAATCTGGGGGGATTATCAAGCTCCTAATGAACCCTCTGAGGTTTTGCAATCACTGCCTAATAGAAAAGATAAAATCACAGTGAACTGCTGTCAAGGGGAGCAACAAAAAGATGGCTTTAAATGAGGGGAGAACCATCAGAAGGGGAACAGACAGCCTGTGTAACACTGAGCTGCTCGGAGATGGGAAAAATATTTCAGGCAAAAAGAAAAAAAAAACGAGGAGAAAATAGGATAAAATGCTGAATTAAACACCTGCCCTGCAGCAGTCGAGGGGAATTCTGTTTCTGTCTTTTAGCATTAATTTTATTTAATAAGCACATCCCAGCCGACAGCTCGCGGTGTCTCAGCTCCGCTCTCTGCGGAGCTTTAGAGGGAGGGAAGTTGTTGTGGCTCCCACTGTACCGGGGCACAGGGGAGAGATTTTGGGATGATGGTCCCTCTGCTCCAGCCTGATGGCTGCAGATAGTGGCAGCAATGCTCTCCCAGCCCGATGGCAGGAGCAAACGGGGAGGAATTCCATGGGAGCCGAGGCGAGCAGCCCGATGGAAAAATATCCACAGGCTAATTTACTGCGTGCAAATTCATTATCAGGCTCCCTCAGCCAGCTCAGGGGACCCTTTTTTGTCAGCAGCAGAAGCTCAACAAATTTTCCAGGAGTTCCTAATGAAACTCAGAGAAGCAGAGCAGGTCTGGTGTGCATTTTGCTTCCCCGCATCCATCATCTCTGCACGGGGTCCCCGTGGCAGCCGAGCCCCCTCCTGTTCTCCACCCCCTGGCAGAAAATATCCATCTGATCCAAGTGTTTTCCTGGTGTCTCCACACAGGGAGGAACTCTCTTGCTCTGGGAATTGCCCTTCTGGGAGGGAATTTCCCAAGGAGGTGCTGAGCTGGGCTCAGAACTCCTCATTGTCCCTTCCCTGCTCCCTGGCAGGGCACAGGTTGGCTGGGGATCCACAGAGCTTGTGGCCATGTAAGGGGGTAATGGTGTGCTTAATAATAATAATAATAATAATAATAATAATAATAATAATAATAGTACCTAAATAAACCATTGCAAATGGCCTGCTGTGCATTGAAGAAAACCTTCCTTCCAGCACTGGAAATCCCTGAAATCAGCAGCACAGAGTAGGAGGGGTGTTTGATGCCTCCAAAATCCCGTGCTACAATTAATTCTTTCAGCTTGTTAATTCCATGCAGCTTGTTGAGTTTGTCTTTTTTTTTTTTCTTCTCCCCTCTCTGTTTGCATTTATTTTTTTTTTAATAACATATGGACCTCAGGCTGGGTTTAAGTTTCAAAACATTTATCAGGGAGATTAGATGGAAATAATGGAAACAATTAAAATTATTACTGTCAGAAGGAAGGTGTAGAGGAGTTTTACTAGTGCCTTCAGTCAGGCAGGCTATTCACTGGATGCAGTTTTTTCCCTGACAATATTGTGTGCAGGTGCTGTTGCTGATAAAACAGCTGCTGTGCTCAATTCCCAGAGACCAGATAAATCAGTTTGGGGCTTTTCTTTTTTTGTTTGTGTCCTATTTCTTCTTTGTTTAGTGATTTATAAAGAGGTCTTCATACAGGAGGAGGGTTTCAAAGCTGAATTGTCGCTCTGGGTGCCTCGTTGGAACTGGAGGGGAAAGGAGTGTCCAGATCCCCCAGCCAATGTCACACATCTCAGTGACAGCTTGTCATCACAGTGACATCCCTTGGAAGCAAGTAGTGATGCCAAGTAAAGCAGAAGGGGCAGTGAACTACAGATTAGTGTCTGACCAGGGCTGTGGAGCTTAGGTTTTTAGTCCTGCTTTGTGAAATCAGCTTTTTTTTTGGTGAAATAACCTTGTTTTTCTGTGTCTGGTTCTGCACCCTGAGCCCCAGTGGTGTTTGGCTTTGCTGCACCAGCTCTGGGCACCCTCACTCTTCCTCACCCAGGTGAGGAAGGCAGATTCCTCTCGTTATGCTTTGACAAATCTTCCCTTGCAGCCCAGCCAGCCTTCCTGTTCCCCAGCAGCTGATACAAACCGTTCTGTAGAGCCCCCATCACGCCCTGGATTTATGGTTCATGTTTTCAGTGGCATGTGGTAGCAGGGCAAACAAATCAGGTTTTTGCAAGGCTGCCAAAGCCATTTCTCCTCACCCTGCTTAGCACGAGAACAGGAGCATTTCGACAAAGAATAACTGCACCTCCCTGGCTTTCTCTGCCTGTGCTGCCTCACCTTGTCCCAGTCTCTTTGTGCTGTTCAGAGTCCACCCTGGGCTGGATTTCCAGTTGTTCAGTAAATCAGGTACCCCCCAGGCCCTCTGATGTGAGAGCAAACCTCCCTCTTTCCCTGTGCCCTCACGCTGTCTTGTCCTGTTTGTCTTTCAGGCTTCCTACCCCTCATTTTTCCAAGAGCTGTGTTTTTTCAGGTCCCAACATCAGCACTTGACCTCTTTTTCCCCCCCGAGGGTTTGCTGCTCTCCAAACCTCGGGCTCCCTGCAGAGAAGTTGCAGACAAGTGCTTTCACTGAGGATGTATTTTCCTAAAGTGCCATCGTTTGAAGAACAGCCTCCAAAATTTAATAGCTCTCCTTGCATGAGGAGGTTAAGGACCCACCCTTACATGGCACACTGATGCTTTTGTGATGTGTCAACTTTGTAAGAGCAATCAAATTTTATATATATATATATATATGTGTGTGTGTGTGTGTGTGTGTGTATGGTTCCCCTAAATTGTCCCTTAGCTCACAGTTTCCCTTTTACTACATAAATGGCCAAGTAACAGTGCCTTGAGTAGATCTACCACATCCACTTACCTCCTCAAAAGGCCACAATTTGTTGCTGTGATGACTTTTTTTTTTTTCTTTTTTGCTTCCACGGGAATTGATTTCTACATGTGGCCCATTATGAACTTATTGACTCTGTCAATAGTTTATAAATAAATTGAGCCTTTCAAGAAAGCCATAAAGCACTTAACATAATATTGTCCACTTGAGTAAATAAATGAATGTGTTGCTGGAGCTTTGGAATGATTAACAGACTTGGCAGCTCAGCTCTGAGGGCAACAGGATCCAGAGAGGCACATCCAACAGAGGAGGTTTGGTGATCCTGGGGGAGGAATTGGTCAGTGGGACCATTGCAGGGTCAGTGTCCCAGTGGTGTGAGGAGCTGGGAGTGATGGAG